TCTCCCTTCCTCTCTGAAATCAATAAAAAAAAATTTTTTTTAAGTTGAGTTCTCCCTTCTATCGTTGAAGCCCTTTCTAAAAGCAATGACACTTCAGGGCTTTTCAAAACCAGTTGAAATTGGTTTCACTTTTACAGTAAACAGGACTTGCTGCAAAGCCAAGCAGAACTCTGAAACCCATCTTTAGGTACTTCTGAGATCATTGATATGGTTGAATGAGTTAATATATGAGAAAATGTTTCTTAAAAATGTCCACCAGACTGTTAAAGTCAGAGTTAACAGATGGTCAAAGTGGGGTGGTAGATTTGCTTACATTTGTTTTTCCTATTAATCACTGGAGTGCTCACATACATTATTGGCGTAAGTCCAGTAATTTCCTCTCCTTTAAATTGCCTACCCTCTCCTTCTAGGAGGCAGAGGAGGAGGAGACTATAAGCCACGAGGAAAGAAGCAAAGTTTGAATAGTTTCTTCCATCTCTTTCCCTCTTCCATTTGAAAGACAGGATACAGTCCTGTGGTCTACTTAGAAATCAGTTTAGAGAACGTTTCAAAGAAGATACCCGGTTAGTTTTGACTGGATATTCATATAAACTTTTTAAAGAAATGAGTGATAGAGCTAACCCTTATCTGTAAGTTGTGAATTTATATTGTTTCTTCCCATGTACAAAACCAATTTTTTTCCTACAAGTAGTTTTTTGTGTGTTGGGGTATAAAGGAAGGCAAATGTTTTATCATGATTTGGCTTCAGCAACTTTGAGACAAATTAAAAGCCTTAAACTCTGGTGCCAGAAAAAACTAAAATAAATTGCCCACTTCTAAGGGGTTTGTGTCTAAAAAGGCACAGCTGCTTTCACTTCAGGAGTCTGCCCAGTGCGTTCCTGTTGTTGCTCCTTGCCACCACATGGTGTCGCTGTTGAAGACTGGTCCTGTGCAGTTGTGGTAGCTGACCTGCTCATGGCTTCCACTCCCTCACTGCCAAGATGGCCTGGGTATGCTCTGCCCTCAAGCTCCTGAAACTATCTTCCTAGCCACTTCCATGGGAAGAGCAAGTCATGGACTTAGCCATTCCTCCCCCTAGTCTTTGGGGGCCACCTTGCTAAAAGATGAGACAGTTTTTCTAAGGACATTCCAAACACAAAAGATCTTGTCCTCTCAGAATGGTGAGGCCAGTGCTATCTCTAATTTAAGGGCTATATCTCTGAGGATATTACAGCAAGAGGATTTACCTTGAGCCCCACTTTTGGGTAACGTTTCAAATATCTCTTTTTCAAAGCAGAAAGGTGGCCAGGTGAACTACAGTATCTATCACAGACCCTTAGAGAGGCTGCTAAAATTTTCAAGATTCCGTTCAATGGTGATCTTTACCATGACAAGCATACGTTGTTTATCAGTAAGTCCCCAATGTTGTGGATAGGTTCTGCAACTTTAAATAAGTTTTTATTGATGTTAGAGAAAGGAAGGAAGGGAGAGGGAGAGACACATCAATGTGAGAGAGAAACATTGATCGGTTGCCCCCTGTAGACACCCCCACTGAACTGGAAACCTGGGCATGTACCCTGACCTGGAATGGAACTGGTGACCTTTCGGTGCACAGACAAATCTCAACCAAGTGGTACTGGCCAGGGCAGGCTCTTCAACTTTGAAAGAAACAATGTATAACCAGTCTTACCATAGTTTAACTGATATAAACAAGAATTAAGTTCCTATGGCATATCATCATTATGATAAAAACATTTTCATTATAACATTACTTAAGGACCTGCTGTATGTTAAATGTGGAATAAAACTGTGTGTGTGTTCATATGCATCCTCATGTGTATATTTATTATATTTAATATTCATTCGAGAGGGATAGAGAAATAGAAACATTGATGAGAGAGGAACATTGATCGGCTGCCTCCTGCATGCCCCCTACTGGTGATTGAGCCCATAACCTAGGCATGTGCCCTAACTGGGATTGAACCAGTGACCGCTTGGCTCCTGGGTTGATGCTCAACCACTAAGCCACACTAGCCAGGCTGTTTCTTCTTAGTTTAAAAAGAGTAGGTAACAACAATATATCTGATAAGGGGTTTCATTCCAAAATTAATGAACTTACGAAACTCAACACCACAAAAACAAACAGTCCAATTAAAAAATGGGCAAAAGACTTGAATAGACACTTTTCTTAAGAGAGCCTGCAGATGGCCAATAGACATATGAAAAAATGCTGTCTCTAATCACCAAAAAAAAAAAGCAAATTAAAACTATAATGAGATGTCACTTCACACCTATCAGAATGGCTATCATCAATAAATCAACAAACAAGTGAGAGAAAAGAGAACCTTTGGTTAAATGCAAATAGGTGGAGTCACTGTGGAAAGCAGTATGGAGTTAACTGAAAAAATTACATATGGAACTGCATTATAACCCAGTGATTCCACTTCAGGGAATGTATCCAAAGAAAACCGAAACACTAATTCAAAAGAATATATGTACCCCTATATTCATTGCAGTGTTATTTACAATAGCCAAGATTTGGAAACAGACCAAGTAGTCCATCAGTAGATGAGTGGGTAAAAAGCTGTGGTAAATTGACACAATGGAATACTACTCTGCTGTAAAAAGGAAGGAAATGTTACCCTTTGCGATAACATGGATGGACGTGGAGAACATTATGCTAAGTAAAGTAATTCAGAGAAAGACAAGTACCATATGATTTCATTCATGGGGAATTTTTAAAAAATGTTATTGATGTTAGAGAGAGGGAGAAACATCAATGATGAGAATCATTGATTGGCTGCCTCCTGCACGCCCCCTACTGTGGATGGAGCCGACCCTGGCATGTGCCCAGACCCGGGAATCCGAATTGGTCCACACTCAACCACTAACCCACTCTGGCTGGGCCTTAGGTGGGATTTAATGAACAATCTGAACTACCAAGCAAAATAGAGACAGACTCGTAGATAGAGGGCAGGCAGACAACTCTGGTGGGAGGTGATTAGGCGGGTGGAGGGTTTGAGGAAAAAAAAACAATAAAAAAAACCCTGATGGACATGGACAACTGTGGTGATAGGGGGAAGAGGGCTTAGAGGGGATAATGATGGGGAAAAAAACTTAAAATATTAAAAAACACAAAGAAAAATAAAAAAGAGTAGGTGAGTTCTTTCCAGTTTTCTTAAATAACCTGACCCATGCAAAACATTGCTTATTTTGGTACAATCCTTGATTAAAAGATACTGTATACATCTAGAAATTAAAAAGAGAGGCAGGACTAGATTATACTTGGGGGAGAGCTTTTCTTTCTTTCTTTTTGAGAGTTTGTTTATTTTGCTTATCTTAAATGAGATAAAGAATATTTCCAAGCGGGCAGGTTTCCAACTTGGACCATGTACACAAAGCAGCGCATTCTAAGGAGAGTGACTGAACGAAGTATTTTGCCCATGTTTATTTTCTCCTACAAGAGTGATGTAAAACTTTTCACATGTGCAGAAGCAGCCGTTTTTGCAAATAAAATAACAAATGCAAGACTAACAGGTGTATGGCAGACCCAAGACGCACATGTGGTTCTCATCAGCTGCCTCTCGCCTGTTTTAAATCTAGGTTTTCCGGTAACAACCAAAAAAGTTATTTCTCCTGAGGCCACGGCTAATAATCCACTCAGCCAGCCTTCCCACCCCTTTTCTCACAATAGTATTTCTAACAGCTTCCAGAGAAGACAACAGCAGCGGAAGCGGGCGGGAAGGGGGCTGGGCGAGGAGCCCCAGACAGTAGCAATTCTGGATTTGACCTTTAACTCCGGGTGACCTTGGGCCTTAGTTTCCTCCTTTAGGAACTGGTTGGCGCATAAAATGCGGGTTTGTTTTCCAGCCTCCACGCCAAGCAGGGTGGGTCTTGTAAAGCCAGGGGTTCTCCACACGGGGAGATTCCGCCGGCCCCGGGCACCTTTCTGGTTGCCTCCGCGGGAGGAGCAGAGACAGGCATGCTGCCCAGCACCCCGCCAGGACCAGGACGGCCCGACCAGAGCGATCCGGTCCCGATGTCACTGGGGCACAGGTTTGCAACCACGGGGGCGGCTCAGGGCTGGCTTTGAAGCTATCCCAGCTGGGGTGGCGGCTCCTCCGAGAGACGCGTCTCTGTCTCAGCTTTCGAAACTCAGGCCAGCGAGGCGCTGCAAACCCCCGCCCTGTGGGGTGCGCAGGGACGCGGGCGGGGCGTTCCTCCGCGCCCCTCGGTAGACCCTCACACGCGCATCACTAAGTGGACGTTTGTCTCCCTCGCCCCCAAGAACGCCGATCGAGAGGCTAAGGAAGGACCCCTGGGCTCAGAAAACTTGGCAGTGTCTCCCGCCCACGACCCCTGTCACCTCCGTCAGTGCGGGGAAGGTTTTTCTTCCCCGAGGAGGTCCCCACAGCGCTGGGTTCAAGGACTCCGCGCACGTCGCGGGTTTCCGTCGGGAACCTCCGCCTACGACACGGCTGGGGGCGTGGCCTTCAAGCTGCGGCCGTTGCCCCGCCCAACCGCCTCCCAA